TGCATAGAAACATACCCACTTGTTCATAAACATCTACATGTTGCTGGCTGCGCAGGCCGTACTCATCTCGTAGCACGTGGGCGAACGCTCGCAGCATCGCAGGGTACATGCGAAACTCCGCGTAGCACTGTTGAGGGCTACAGTTCATAGCGTCTAGCATGAACATGTGTCCATTGCGAGCGAACGGGTACCGAGCAACACGAAGTCGTTGTTCACGATAGTAGTTTGATACATTTACCTCACCTATACGACAGTATTGAAACCACTCAATCATATCCGCTAATAGCAATTCCTCGTATGCCTCGTCGTCAACGTTGTCATCGACATCGGAAGTCGGTCGCAAGTCGCAGTTCATTATGTGTTTTTGCAGCTGACAGAATTTCGAAGGCAAATATTGAAGGTGATGTTTGTGTAAGGCAACGTAATGCTTTACAAGGCCCTCGCCTTTTATAGTCAAAAAGTACCACCAGTTTCCACAATTAATGCACGTAAAACAAGCATGTACAGTTCCCACGTGAGTGGGTAATTTTTTTCACCACTATGCTTACGCGCTTTTTCCCAATCACAAAATATTTTTGCAGGCTTTTGAAAATTAGCCCCATTTTTCAAATCAATAAAGGAAGACCAATTATGGCTACAGTTGGAAGATTAGCCCCCATGTTAAAAATCAATGACGAAAAATCAATGATGGCTACAGTATGAAGATTAGCCCCTCTACTGTCAAACCAAAAAAGTGGAAACAATAATGGCAACATTTCAAATATAGGAATAGTACACACACAATATCCATCGTCTGCATATTGATTCGACACACTAATAGGTAAAGTTCGAATTTGATAATAGTACACACGAACGTAGAAGAATAGTACACACATTACATGTACGAAAACGTAATGGAGTGATGCTCTGAAAATGACTCCGCATACCAACTACGACGTAGAACCATGACACGTTATTACGAACAAGGAATGAGAAACCGTGCCACCACTCTCCACACACGCTCCATAGACATAGCCTTCACCCAGGCTAAACTCGCGTGTGATCTTGCCAGCAGTATTGAACCCATGCGAACTTCAAGTCGACAGTAAGTTGCATGTCCAAGATCTCCCTATTTTTCTTATCCTTCTGGAATGAGCATGTCCAAAAGTACTGTTCGGAACCTACTTGTAGGTTACTCGTGGACAATAACTCGTGCAGGCATGTTTTTGGATCAGAAACTGGTGGTCCAATCATCTGGTCAATTCTGGCTGCCACATTGTCACTAGCTGAGGTCGCACGATCCACTGAAAATGACACGTCGCGCGACGAAAACTTCTTCTTCTTCCCCTTCGCTCGATCTCCACCAGATTTCCGTTTGTCACCGCTATGCGGGCCTGAGAAATCCATGGTTGCTGAAGTTGGTTTGGGATCAACGCCCTCGTCACTGGACCCGCTACTCTCCAGATC